AAGAAACCGAAAATTATTTATACTGATGACGAAGGAGCATTATCTACGGAAGCGATACAAAAATATTTGAAAGACGAAAATATTAATCATCATAGAACACGGGGACATCCAAATTTTGCCGAATTCGCGATTAGAACTTTTAAAGATATGCTTTATAAGAGGGTTGAGGTTGATGAAAAGAAGGGGAAACAAAATATACAATGGACTGATTATATACTTGAAATATTGCTTACTTATAATAATCGGATGGAGCACTCGGCCACAGGTTTAACACCGAAAGAAGCGAGGAAGAAAGAGAACGAAATGAATGTCAAAATTAAGTTAGGGATGAATGCCAAGAAAAATAGGGTGTATCCGGAAGTTGATAAAGGCGATGAGGTTAAGATATTCAGGAAAAGAAAACCAAATGAAAAGGAGAGAGTGGGCAATTGGAGTAGCAATAGATATACTGTAGAAAAGATTGAAAAGAAATTTGGGCAAAATTACTACTATATCGAGGGCATTGATAGACCATATTTGAGGTTTGAGTTATTAAAGGTTTAATTGAAGTTGTTTGTTGCTTTACGAGTAAGTTGCGTGTCGTTTTACGGGTAAGTTGTTTTTTGTTTTACGAGTGAGTTGTGTGTCGCTGTACAACAAAAACGCTCAATTTATTCTCATTGGAATGGTAAATTATTCTTGTCGGAACAATGAACCATTCCAGGTTGAACCCTGAATTATTCTAGTTAGAACAATGGTATAGACGAAACCACAACAAAGACCCGAGAAGATGTGTGTGCGCGCGCGTGTGCTTGTGTATGTGTTCATGCAGGTTTCCTTGGTTCTGCAGCGTTTCACAAATCAAAACGAAGCTGGAACATTTTGGGAGTTCTTGGAAGAACGTCAAACGGCTTTCGGCAGACTATACAACAGTTCTAGTTAGAATACTTTATAATTCTGTTAAGATCCTCTTAAACAGGCAGAGCATGAGCTTGCACATGTTCATGCGTCATGGATGAGCCTTGCTTGAAGAAGCGGAGGCTTCAAGCAATTGGCACCGCAAAAGTCTCAGTTTCCGACTGGATACAGGCGCAGTTGCAGGATTTAGATTTTTCAGAGCAGGTCATCAACGCGGTGAAAGAATCTCTCCGGGGCTACACGCGTGCTGCATTATTGGAGGCCTCAGTGGAAAACTTGAAAAAGGCCCTCCCGGATAGCTGCGACAGGCCTACCAGAGTTGCGGTGGCACAGAGCCTCCACAATCGTATTCACCAGCTTTCCACTCAAGCACCAGTTCCTCGGCTTTTAACCCTACTCCACTCCCTATTTTGGTTTCTTCCCTATTTCCGTAGCTTACCCTTTTTTTGTTGGTTCGTAGATTGTAGGGTTGGGTTTAGCCTTCGTTGTTTCTTTCGTTTGGTGGGGTGTTTGTTTCCCTGATTGTCGCCGTAGTCGTTTAGGTTAGGGGCTCTTAATGAACAGGTTTGTTTGATTTATGCTTGGTGTGTATTCTGGCTTTCCCCGTAGGCTTTTGTAGTAGGTGTTGGTTGGGGCTGGTCTTTGGGTGTAGGGGCTGGGGTTTCGGCTTTAGTGTAAGAGGGATTTTGCTTTTGGTTCGAGTTTCAACTCAGGATTTCCGCGTCGAGTGGTTCGAAGATGTGAAGACGGCAAAGGCGAAGGACGGCTGGTTGGGCGAAGGAACGAAAATTCCCGGGGCTCCTATCTATGTTCGCAAGTGCTACAAGAAGATGAGGGACTTGTTGTTCGACAAAGAGAAGCTCCAAAGCATTGACAAACAGACCTACATCATCAAAGGAACTCCAGGGATTGGCAAAACAACCATGTTGCCCTACCTTCTATCCGAGTGTTTGCAGGATGGTTCTCCATTTACGGACGTTCTCTTCGCCACTTCTGAGGATGTGTTTGTTGCTCGGAAGAATGAAACTGGGTGGAGCATCGAAGGCTTCAGTGTGAAAGGCAAGC